AACAGAGAGTCTACACGGTTAGACATTCCTGCCCTGTCCCTCCTCTTCCTGTGAGACAGAGTTTAAAGTCAAAAACACATTTAGAGTTGACCGGAGAAAAGCTTTAGGCTTGAAAAGAAATGGTTCCTGATGAGCGCGAAACTCTGAGGTAAGAGCCGAAAAAAAAAAAACCTCACTGAATATTAATGAATTTTTTAGTTATCAATTTTGACGTTGGAGTTGAAAGAGTAGTAAATGAGATTTCTAACTGCATAGTTTTAAACGTCCATTCTTACACTTTTTGGTGCATGTAGTAAAGAAAGATGTTGAGGTTCTCATCTGTTTCTCGTACTGTTTCTAGTATTTTGAGAGACTCAAGTAATTTTACATGTTGGTCTTATAGGACAAGGCAGCGAAAGGTTTGTGTCTAACTTCTTGAAAAGTGAAAACAGTTATCAGTCGGAGTCGGACTACACCAAGTTTGAGGATTCCTTCCAAAACAACACCACAATTAAGCGGCTAAGCCTTAAGAGGCAGCCCAGACGGGCTGTCAATCATGCAGGACAACCAGAGAGTAGGGTTTCGTCCAGCCAGTGGCATTCTGAAGAATCCCTGTCATCACAGAGCTCAAATGACCCAAAAAACCTTGGCAGGTTTTCTACAACCCGGGGTCGACCACCGCTCCCTCCCCCACATTGTTCCTCCTTGGATAATAAACTCAAGAGTGAGGAAGCAGCAACTAACAAGTCTCAAACACCTGCGGAATCAGCGCCTAAGCCTGCCGCACGATCACTTGCTGCGCACAGACCAAATCCTGGGGCAGATAAAAACATCATCCAGACTCACACACAGGTGGAGAAGGATGAGAACAGCAAGGCTCCACCTCAGCCGCAACCACGTCGTAGACTGGCCAGCTTTGGCGGTGTCAGCTCCCCAGGGTCACTCTCCCCCTTCACTGGCCAAGAAGCCTATGATCAGAACAACAATGGGAACAGGTCTGCTGACGCTCACCTCTACTCTTCTCTTGGCAGCAGAGGCAGCACAGGAAACCTTAAATTAGGTACGCAGAGCTCTGGTAGGACCACGCCGGTTCCAAGTCCCGGCTCCATGCAGCTGCAGCATGTCCGTGACCAGATGGTGGTGGCTCTGCAGAGGCTAAAGGAGCTGGAGGAGCAGGTCAAAATCATCCCCATCCTTCAGGTCAAAATATCAGTCCTTCAAGAGGAGAAGCGGCAGCTGCTCTCCCAGAACCAGAATCAGAGTGACAGTAAAGTTACACCTGATTCAACCTGGCAGAAATCTAACGGCAAAAAAACGTCTGAGACCAAAACTGGAGTTAAAACTAAAAAGGATTCCAAACTGCAGAACGACCCCACTATCCTTGGGGAATTAAGGAAACTGACTGAAGAAGTGCAAACACTGGAAGAACGTTCACATGAAATAAACAGAAAAGGATGCAGCCCTCTGCAGGACAAAAAAAACACCATGTCCAAACCAACGAGAGAAAACAAATCTAAACACACCAATCAAACAGACAGGAGACCTCCTGCAACTGACGGCTCAGGAGATACTTTTGGAATGAACAAAGACAGGGATTCAGAGATCGAAGCCCAGCAACTACTAATTTGTGCTTTGAAGGAGAGAGTTTCCCACCTAGAAGCAGAATTAAAAGAATCAGCCCTTCAGAACGAGATGAGTCGTTTAAAACTTGAGCTCCAGGCTGCAGGAGCTAGAAATCGTGCTGACAAAGCCTGTGTTGCCAGACCATTCACCGTGAGCACAGGCACTGAAGCAAAGCCTCAAACCACAAGCCAGGGAGTGGGTAATCACAGAGAAGTCAAGGATAACAGCACAGGAGAGGCCAGAGAGACGAAGACGGTGGGAGTGTCTTGTCATGGACCTGAGCTAAAGAACGTCTGCACGGGACCAGACGAGCCAATGAGCCAATGGGAGATGTGGAGAAGAGTTGAAACCAGAGAAAAAGATGTTGAAGTTGAGGTTTTGACAAACACACAAGGGACAATGACAGAGGTAAAGTCCTGTGATGTGGGAACCAACACGCCGCCACCGTCAGAGGTCGGAACCCACAAGAAATACCAATCCGTGGCCTGTGGAGATTGTTCTATCGATGTGATCATTTCTGAGGCAAAAGAACTGGTTTCCGCGGGAATGTCCACTGATCCAGTGAGACGCGCCGATCTCGGAATCATGGCGTCACCTCTCACGGTTTCACAGCGAACCAACACTGTGTCCAGCTCCGTGTCTCGATTCACAAACACCACACACGCTTCCAACGCAGACTCCAGCACCAACACTCTCCTCAGTACAAAAGACAAGCACACCAACACCGTCCAGACTGTCTCCAGGTCAGTGTTTGTAGGTAACAGGCTCAGAGATGCCCCAGATGTCCATTCAGTCGGTGTGGAAACGTTGGTAGTTAATGCCTTGAGACAGACATACTGCAACAAGGTAACCAGAGACACCGGTGTAGGCTTCACCAACATTCACGAGAACTTTCTGGTCGGACTGAAAACTCGTAACATGGCCTCGGGACCGTCCCATCTGCCAGACCCTATCAAGACGCGAAGCATTGGTGTTGGAGATGGAAGGATACAGGATCTGTCCGTTTCAGCCAGTCTACCCAGCCAAGGACTTCAGCAGTCTCCACAGTCCCTGTGGGACCCTGAGCTGAACCATTACATAGAGAAAATGCAAAAGCTCCTGGGAGAAGACGGAGAACTGCTCTCAGAAAACTGCAGTCATCAAAGAAGTGAAAGTTTCAAAATGTTGTGCAATAAAAAAGTGGTCAGACGAGAAGGGGCAGAAGTTCATCATGTGAAGTGCCAGCCGCACGGTAACCATCAAGATATTTATACTATCTTATTAAATGTAAACACGCACAACAATACAAATATGAAAATTAAGCTTTTATACGAGCTGACCTTAAAATTATTATTTATATTTTTTGGAAAAAAGCTCTTACCCAAACCAGAATAAAATTGAATTTTTATTACTGTTTATTTAAAGGTGTTTCATTAGTCTCAGATACTTAAGTACTTGTTGACGCATACTGTTTAACTGGTGCTAAGGCACTTGACCTTTATTATAAAAAATATATCATGTTACCACAATAGGGATGGCTCGACACAACTTTTTCATGTCCGATACTGATACTGCAACTTGGAGTTTCTGCCGATACAGATATCAATGCGATACCTTCTTTCCTCCAGCATGCCAAGGGCTGCTGCTGATGTGACAGTTAAGCTAAGTTAGGTTGAGCATTTGGGCTCAGGTATCAGATCGGACAGCTTACAGTTGTTGTTTTAATTCAATGTTTGATCAGGAACGTTTGACCAATATTGGACCGATACAGATCCGAGTTTCAGATCGAGACATCCCTAGTTACTAATATTCATAAAGTCAGTATAAGTGATTGAAAATTCTCACCATTTACCCTGTTCTTCTTCAGTGAGGAAAGAATTTCAAACGCCATCTCAAACTTCAGTCCACTCTCCTACACGTGATGAACCCAACCCAGGACTCAGTCAACAGGACGGAGGTGGATCTGAAGTGAAGAAAATGGTCAAGATGTTAGAGCAGCAGGCATCCTCACCTCCACCTGGTAAGTGTGAAGAGTGAGAATCCTGCCAACAATTTAGCTGAAAATCATTTTACTTTCTAAAATGGTTTTCCACATCACTCCTCCAACCCAGCTTAAACTTGTACTTGGGCTCTGAGGAAGTGGCTGCCCCTGGTCTGTGGGAAACACTTGCAATGTTTGGAATGATATCTGGTTTGAAAGGCATCTGAAACCACATAGCAGTTTGTGGCCGAGAGACTAAATATGAACGGCCTGGTAGGAGTAATCGGTGTCTAAAAAAAAAATTATATATATATATATATATATATATAGTTTTTACAAAAAGACCTTAGAGATCAGTCACATTGCTAACCTGTAAATGCCATGACGGAAAAATTAAAATGGAATTAAAATGTGAAATCCAGTTCATCCAAATCCAGTTCACTGTGATTTCTAGAAGGATCTACGAAGGCGCTGCGTCCCGTGACAAAGAGACAGAAAGGAGAGCAGAGCTGTAGCAGCAGCAGGAAAAGTATGAGACTAATGAAGGTGACGACAGGGTACGTTTGAATAGTTCGATTACAGATTGTACTGCACAGTATTTAGACACAGTACTGTGTGTAATTCTTTTCGTTGTTGTCATTATTCCTTAATAGTCTGGAGCCTCTGCCGTCTTACCAGCACTCAGGGGAAGAAAAAGAAAACTCAGAGGAAGTGGAGAAGAGAGTAAACAAAAAAATGAGGGGCGCAGCTCAGGATGGGACACCAGCACGGAAAGGAAAAAGTGGATTCAACAAAGGACTGAAGGCAACTGTGAAGTCACACACACAGCAAAGGTATTGGAGAAGGGTTTTTTGGGCCAAGCACTTGGGGGGTGCAGGAGGTGGTACTACTCTTTCACATAAAATTTTTGATTTATATTAAACTGGGGCTACTGCCATGTGTAAAGGTACAATATTATTTTTGCATTCTATATTAAGCCTTTTAAATAAAACACAGGTTCATAGATTCAGGTTGGGGTTTTTTTGTATGTACAAAGCGTCATTTTACCATCCCCCATGCAGTACCTCCACAGCCCTCTAGGGGTGGTGGATCCCTTATTGAAGAGCTCTGTAATACTGAAGCCTTCGCAGGAAAAGGTTCTCTGCATCATCGCTGACATTTCCCCTCTACTGTGAACTTTCAGATGTAAGATAAGTGAAAAGGTCGTTTCTGCCTGTGAGGCGTTGGAGATGAACCTGAGTGAAGAGACGACTTTATCCAGCAGGGAGCTGGTATGTATGTTATTATGCAGGCGGGGGCAAACCGTTTGACTCGCGAGCCACAATTGTCCTAAAATCAGGGGTCAGGAGCAGATAGATGCACCATCTATTGGGGAAACATGGGTATTGCAGGGAAAAGTCAGAAGTATAATAATAATATAAATAAATTATACAATTCAAAAGCTGAACGTGCCGCATCTGGGCCCCCAGGCCTTAGTTTGCCCATGCATGTTATTGTGTATCCTAGGTAAAGATAGACGTATATTTCTTTGAAACAATTTTTGAGGCGGGGGAGGTTACTATTGCTGCGATTTATTTTGAAGTAAAAATAGAGTTAGGTTGGATTAAAGGCTAGGAAATCCATCATGTCAATGTGAAGTACTTGCAAAATAATTTTAAAAAGTGTGTTTAAGCACGTTCACGTGTGTTAGAGAGAGAATGTTAATGCCTTGGGAAATGCCAGCGAAGGGTGTGTTCTAGTTCTGCCATTATGAGGAACTCTCTTTTATACCAAGCCAAGTAAAGGAATACACCGACTCTGTAATTTGAGATATGGCATATTTCCTGACCTTTGACACAAACATATCTTTGATTGGTAGAGTTTTTCCTTTCACGGTAATTACCATCAATCACCATCAATCTTTACACTTTTTTGTTCTACAGAGATGTTGCTTTTCCCCCATTGTCTCCTGTTTCCGATTGCTGCCACTCAAAAAGCCATTTAAAAAAAAAGTTTTTTTCACTAATTTCTGATCTTTTTCAGCACGACTGTCTGCAAACACTGCAGCAGGAGTGGTTCTCTGTATCCAGCCACAAGTCATCTGATGCCAACGTTGTGGATGAGTACTTGTCGGTGTTTCGGGTCATCTCTCCTGCAGTGCTGCGACACGTGGTCAATATGACTGATGGCAACGGAAACACAGCACTGCACTACAGCGTGTCTCACTCCAACTTTGGTGTTGTTAAGAAACTGCTGGACGCAGGTACAGTACAACAACAGTAATAACAAAACAGCACATCACACTTCCGAACATGAAATTAACGCATCTTCTGCTCGGATAGAAGGAACGTTTATTTATATATATAGGGTATATTCAGTTATATGGGTAAATATGCATCCCATGTAGATGAAGTAGATGAACTTTAACCTGGTCATTTGAATAGTCGCTCCAAAGTCAAAATAAATACTTGTTTAACTGCCTACTTCCTAAACGTAAAAACACTGAAACAAAGGAAGTGCATGAATATATATATATATATATACACACATATATATACACATACACATACTGTATATATAATAATCAGGATCTGATTTTGAGTTTGGTCTGTTACATGTGTTGTCGTGACAAACCAACCACCATGGCTGCAGAGGGCTGTGATGTCAATCAACAGAACAAAGCAGGATACACACCCATCATGCTGGCAGCACTGGCAGCAGTAGAAACCCAGGAGGACATGAGGGTCGTAGAGAAGCTCTTTTCAAAAGGAGAGGTCAATGCCAAGGCCAGCCAGGTGAGTCCAACTGTCACAAATCAACACAGAAAGTGATGAAATATAAAGAAAATATGTGTTGTTGATATTGCATTGATGGGGGGGGTTTCTTCAGACTAATTGGCTCTGACTGAACTTTCATTAATCAACCCTAACATGGGAAATAAATGAAACTGCAGCTCAGCACCATTAACCCCCATGTTCCTTGTCTTCCAGGCCGGACAAACAGCTCTGATGCTGGCTGTGAGCCATGGCAGGATGGCCATCGTGCAGGCTCTAATGGCCCAGGGGGCAGAGGTCAACCTCCAGGATGATGAAGGATCCACTGCACTCATGTGTGCGAGCGAACACGGCCACACGGACATCGTCAAACTGCTGCTGGCAGAGTCGGACTGTGACGCCGCCCTAACCGACAGTGTATGTCCGTCATGGCTCTTCTTCTGTTGCTGCTTTTTGAAGCCTTAATTTTTCAAGATATAAAAAATAATTTCCAAATAATAAAAGGGATTTTTAGGAATTAAGATCACGAAAAAGAAACTACAGTAACTACGGCTGTAGGCCATCTGAAATAAACATAAAATGTATGTTGAACATTTGGCCAACACTGATCAGTCACAAGTGGACAGACACTCATGTCTCTGTGAGTCTGTCACTTCATAAATTGTGACAGAATCAAATCAGTACTACAGTGTGAGCTGTATTTGAATAGTCAACAACTCACATTCTGTACAATCTGATGTAGAGCTGTAGCTTTCCTTGGACCTTGGAAAGATTTAAGTCAATTTTAGTCAATGTATTAAAAAGAGGTAAATCTAGAGCAGTAACATTTATGAAAATATTACAATAAATATTCCTTGAAACAGTGGTTCCCAAGGTCTGGGTGTTGCAGGGGTGAGAAAGTTAGCTTCAAGGATAAAGAATTTCAATATTTTATTAATTTGTTTCAGTCCACTGTTTTGTAATTTCTGTGTGAGTCAGGGTTCAAAATTGTGTTCAGTGGAATTCTGAAGCAAAAGTTCTATCTACGAAAGAGAGAAAGTTTTACTGTTCTAAGGTTAAAAAAGAAAGTGCGTTCAGAATCACTTTTATCACAGTTTATCCAGACGATGGTATAAGGTTTTCCACAAGATTAAAAAAAAAGTAAAGAGAGAAAGTTTGGTTTTTACTGTCTTAAGGTTAAAAAAGAAAGCGCGTTCAGAATCACTTTTTAACACAAGGTTTTCCACAAGATTAAAAAAAAAGCCCACAAATAGATAATTAGTTTAAAATAAACATCAAAGACTGACCTGACAGACGTATCCGCAACACAAAGACAAGCTGACACACCGACGTCCACAGTGTGAGGCAGAGCGGTGTCTGGAACTGTACCAGGTGTGACTAGTGAGACCAAACGAGACACAGGTGAGTGTGGAACAGACGACCCAGGGAGAGAGACTGAAGGACAGACCGCCCAAACCCCTGTCTGCAACAATATTCATCAGTCTACAGTTCCTCACAATCTATTTGACACTTGTGTCAGTTAACTTGTCAGTTGTAGACTTAGTTACTGACCTGCACTTGGTGAGGCTGGTCTGACTCAAACTGACCTGAAGTTGACCTGCCTCCACAAACACATGCTGAGCATCCTCGTGGTGTTTTAAGCTTGAGATGTTTTGGTGAAATGAAAATTCAGCAGTTATCACACCTGCCTTACACGCAGAAGGTCCTGGGTTTGAGCCCCAGGGGAACCACCTATTTAATGGTGCCTCCCATGTGGTGGCCTGTGGGTTGCAACCTTCGGGATTGCATAGTGTAGCAGTAATCACATCTGCCCTACATGCAGAAGGTTGTGGGTTCAAGCCCCAGAGGACTCAGATGTACTTGATGGTACCTCCTGTGGCAGCCTGTATGGGTCAGTAAAGACTGACTGTGTGTAAGAGCAATGAGAAATGGGATTATTGGATAAACCTTGTTGTTCTGCCCATGTGTGTAAATTACAAATATATAACTTGGATATTTTTACAGGATGAGAGCACAGCCTTGTCCATTGCACTGGAGGCGGGACATAATGACATCGCAGTGCTTCTTTATGCTCATGCCAACTTTTCCAAAGCACAAACTGTGGTATGTTGGTCAGCACTTTTTCTGCAGCATGTAATCTAAGTTGATCGTATTCCATTCGAAAGTTTTTATTATGTTTTTTTTTTCCTCTCTTTGTCGTTACAGGCTGTTTCTCGGAGCAGTGGAAAACCAGTCTCCTCCTCTGGTGTTTGAAACTTCTTTGAATCATAGACGTTAATCACATCCATGAGGCCATTCAGTGTAAAAGCTGTTGTATTTGTAAATCCTGACGACGTGTTGTTTACAACACCACAAGTGAAACATATGGAATTAGTCTATGTTTACAAAAGACAAGGCTTGGTTGCCTTAAATTTTTTTTTTTTTTCTTTTTTTTTTTTTTTTACTTTTTACTTTTTTACTACTACTTTTCATTCTTTTGTTGCACACACAAATACACACACATATATATGCACATATGAATATGAATGGATACCAGCACAACAGACTTTATTGTCTATAAAATATTTTAAAAAAAGAAATGTATATAAAGCTATTTTAAATATGTTGCAAAAAAATTATTAAATGCACATTAAAATCATGATGAATATACAATACATTTTTAATAGAGATTTTTTTCTCTTTTATTCATTTTGCCAAACCTAAAGTTTAAACTTCACTTTCATTTTTGCCTCAATTCTACTCGTAATCACTGACTTTGTTTTAGCTTCTTTTTTATCTTTAATAAAAATCAGTGATATCTTGTCATTTTCACATAACATACTGTATGTTTACAAATATAATTATAATAAAACTTTTTTTTTATTTTCTGTGCATTCAGTTTCATAAATATAAATATATATATATACACATCTATATTGTAAATATATATAAAGTTTTTTAGTTCTTTAATATATTTGTATGTAAATCAGGGTAAGACAATTTTTTTTTATCTTTCTTCAATTGACAGATTGATCAACACTTTTACTTGTCATTCACAGGTTGGCTGACAGTCATTGATTGACACCTAGCTCTCTGCTCAGACTAGCACTGTTCACTGGCTTCCTTCTGTCTCTGTTGTCCTCCGTCTCCCGCTTGTTTCCTGTTAATGTTTGCGTTCACCTTTTTGAAAACACGAGAGCAAGAAGCTTTAAGAAAACCACTCTCAATGGCCTGACGCTGCAAGTCACTGTTCCACTGTTTAATCCTTCTCTGTGTTTCCAACACACCAAATTAAAACTAAATTACAGGTTGCGAATAATTAAATGTCAGCATAGGCTGTGCTTTTGTACAGTTGTTGTAACAAATGTGGGGTTCTACCCGAAACCTACAATCATTGGGCAGCAAAGACGCAGCCTATTTCAACTCTGCCAGTGGTGAATGAATTTGTGATTGAAAAACACTCACTAGGACAAGTAATACACAAACGATACACAAATAATTTTCTATCTGGTTATTGTTTTTGATATGGTTAAACCATGCTACTAGACCAAGCCGTACTCTGGGCCGCAACGTTTAGCTTGGGTTTCACTGAAAATGCAATAGTTAATGGGCAACAAATTGTTAAATTAGAAATATATTAAATTGTTAAATCTAAATAGTAAATGTAAATATAAAATTAAAACTAAATATTTCGGGTGAAACATTAATACTCACATTAATATTCAGCTAATATGCAAATTAACACTTTCGGTAACCGGAAGTACCGACATAAAAGCTCAAGGAGGTCCGACTGGAAAACAAACTTAGCGAGTGCTGTGGTTGCCCAGTGGCAGATATTGTCGCTGTCGTTGACGAAGAGTTACGATGTTGATTTGTCGCCGAAACGGCCCTTTCAATGTTCGTCGGACATGTTGACAAGTGCCAAAAGCAAGCGTGGGGCAAGTGACTTACTGTACATCGTTGAGCTTTTATTTTGGTACTTCCTTTTACCAACAACGTGATTTGCATATTAGTTAAAAATTTAGTTTCACTCTAAATGTTTACATTTAACATTAAGCATTTAGACTCAACATTTATGTCTGTTTATATTTACAATAAGATAAAAAGAAAGACAGAAAAAAGAAAGAAAGACAGAGAAAAGAAACATAGGAGAGGACTTTCTGAGTCATTTTCCAGCAACAACAATAAAATACAATGACATACAAGGTCCAACGTCAAAATTTCATGTTTCCATGGCAACGGGAAGCAATTTTGAACAAGTGCTTCTTGAGAAGATGGTAGTAAAATGATAGAAACATTTCCCTCTGCATTACTGTCACTTCAAAAGAGAGACAAGAGAACAGTGTTTAGCATTTCACACAGAAAACTCACAACAAATAAAACTACAATGCAACATATACAAAAAATATATATTTTTGAATGTTGAATGTCCCCCAAAAGGACAGCAGGGACACCTAAGTACAGTTCTTACAACTCTGAATATTTTTCTCGGTTTTCCTCCTTAATGAGGGATCTATCTATCTCAACCCAAGTGTCAAAAGTTCAGATAATTGAAATGATTGACCAGTTGTTGTTAAGTATGTTTGTGGGTTTGAAAGAGAAAAACAATACATCATCAGCATGGAGATAAACATTATGTTACATTTTTTATTAATTAATTCAAATATTTTTATTTTTGTAAATTAAAAAAGGTATATGTGTCTAGTGGTTTTATCCCAGATATGACTAGAATATTTCTTTCTATAATAGAACTAATTGGATGATTTCACAGCAGTGCCAGGTATTTATCATGTTATAGCAAGTGGCTGATGTGGGCACAGTGCAGTTCATAGGTTTATATCAGTCTAGTACTGTTTGTGTATTACCATAATGCTAAATGAGGGCAAGAAGTACCATCCAGTATTTGGCTGTATAGCCATCCAGAGCTGGAGCTTCTCAAACTGGCATGTGTTCAAGGACCACCTGTGATTTGGCCATGAGATAAGAGGGTCCTGGGTTGCATCCTTGTCATTGTTTATCTGAAGTAAAAATGCATATATTATCTCAACAGTGTTTTTATGCTACAGTGTAGGCTGCATTAACATTTGGATTGTGTACAAAGGTGATTTTATTTTAGTCAAATGGTTAGATTTTGGTTTACAATGTCTTAATAATTGTCCAGTGTTATATATCTTACTATATATTTTAAAATAAACTTACATTGAAAGTAGTTAACCTAAAAACAGTAAGGCTAGAAGAAATATTCAGTATTACAGATCGCCCTCACTCTGTCGGGGTATTCATTTTTGTAAACTTTTTTTTTTTTTTTTTGTACCTGGAGGCAAGCTTCTCACAGGTTTCAGTTTTATGCATGATGAAACAGTGGTCAATGTTCTATTTTCTGTGTTCTGGGTTTGTGAAAACAATGTCCAGTATTTGTTTTTTCAGAGTCTGATTTAAATTTAAAGTTAATCAATATTACAATATTATCCATGTGTATTCTTAATGACAAATTATTGCTTATTCTATCTCAGATAATTTACTCTAACACAGCAAGGGAACCTCAGCTTCCTCTGGTATAATAAATGGTCAAATAATGTTTTATTTACAAATAAGTGAAATTAACATGAGGACCAGTTCTTTTAGAATTGTTTTTATCTATCTGTCTATCTATCTGTCTATCTGTCTGTGTCCGTCTGTGTCTGTCTGTGTCTGTCTGTCTGTCTATCTCAGTTTTCCCCCTAGTTTTAGTTCTTTTTTAAAAAGTTATTGTTAACTATTAGCGTGAGCTGACACAGACGCTGTCTTCAAACAACCACACAAAGAACAACTGGAGTTCAACCGTCTCCCCCCACAGACACAGGGAGCAGAATCTGGAATTGAACCCCCAAACGTTCAGGGTGAAAACCAGCCCCTTCGCTTTGTCTTTCAGGGGTTTTTAACGACCACTTCTGCATTTTATGACTTGCATTACTGCCACCTTTCTATGTTTCTATGCTTGATTCTAGCAACAAAAAAATAAAATAAAAAAAAAATAAAAAAAATAAAAAAGGGTTTTCCTAAGCAGGGTTTGCACAACACATCGGGGCAAAAACAGATTTACAGGAACCAGATGTGGCTAATCATCATTCCAAAGCAGAAAAGTCTGCAGCAGCCGTGCACAGTTATGTTTTCCTCCCTATCTTGGCAGACTTTCGTGAAATCTGAGTGCACATTTATGCTTTAATCACTGTGTTGGAATTCGGGTGGGGGGGTGGGGTGCAGAATTTGCACATTACATACAAACTGTGTTCACATCATGATCCTATAAGTGGCCGTTAGTTGCTTTAGACCCGGAGTCACGTTTCTTATTCAGATCACTGTATGGATTGACACCAAACAGCATCTTGTCATGTCTTTTTGCGGTGCATAAATTAAATAGTTTGGGGGGGGGGATGGGGGGTAGCACGTTTGAGAAAAAAAAATGGACCCGATAACTTTAACAGTAGGGGTAGGAAGAAGAGAAAAAAGCGTCTGGCAAGAGTGGATATTAAAAACATGCAGAGGGAGAGGAGCTCGGGGCCTTCAAGAGTCAGGAAAAAGACGTCGGGGAGCTGCATATAGGAGATGGGCACGGCGTTCGTGTTTGCCCCCAGCCCATTGATTTGTATATGAAAACATAGCGCTTTTATTCTCCCCCCGTCTCGGCTCCGCTTCTGAGTGATCAGCTGATGAAGAGACTAGCAGCTCGCCGCTATGCTGGTTTGCTAATTCTCTCCCCCACAGCTGCAGCCGATCCTGATAGCCAGCCTGCACACTGCACTCAGGTAAAAAACTGCCCTTCTTTTTTGTCTTTCTCCTCCTCCTTCTTTTCCTTCTCCCTCCGCTGCTTCTTACCCTCCTCTGGCGCAGGATTCAGCCGGGCTCCTTCGCATGGGAAGAGGAGGAAGAGATGGATAAAATGTGTGCGCACCAGTGTCTATGTGCATGCGTGTGTGTGTGTGCGTGCGCGCGCGATCTCACCAAGCAGAGTGTGAGTGACTGTCTACTGTGTGTGCGCGTGTGTGTGTGGGTCTAAGAGAGAGTGTGAGTGTGGGAGGGGGGGGTGGGGGGGGGTGGTGTGTGTTGTAACAGATGAGAGGGAAACCTTGGCCAGAACCGTCTGGGAAGAGGCTTGTTAGGGTGATGGCACAGGCATGGAGCATCACATGGACACACTGAAACCCTTCACACACACACACACACACACACACACACGCACACACACAGAGTCAATCAGACACCTCTCAGCTGTGTCATACATCTCTCTAGGATTACCCCTCTCTTCCTCCACTGTTCCCCTGGAACGACTGCAGCCCCTTAGAGACAAAGGGAAGTGGATCAGCGGTGCGTTCAAAGCCTCCGTCAGAGCCGAGCCATGATGAGGATTTCTATTGTGTCCTCTCTGGTGTTTCTGTGTCCTCTAACTCACAACATCTCTGCCCTGTGTTGTGTGAGAAGAGCAGACATGCATCTCTGACAGTTGTTATTGTTTGTTTGTGCCCCCCCCCACC